TGGGACCTGGATCTTGGAAGTGGTTAACGCTTCTCTGAGGGAGGGTCGAGTGCCTGCCCCTTTAAAGGAGGCGGTAATACGACCGGTCCTGAAGAAAGCATCACTGGATCCAGAGATGGCCACTAACTATAGACCTGTGGCCAACATCCCGTTTCTGGGCAAGGTGTTGGAGCAAGTGGTGGCGGGACAACTCCAAGCACTCTTGGATGAAACTGATTATCTGGATCCTTTTCAGTCCGGCTTCAGACCTGGGTACAGTACTGAATCTGCCTTGGTTGCCCTGTACGATGACCTGTGCAGGGAGAAGGACAGGGGGAGTGCATCCCTGTTGGTTCTTCTGGACCTCTCGGCGGCTTTCGATACCATCGACCATGGTATCCTTCTGGATAGGCTAGCGGGATTGGGGGTTGGAAGCACTGCTTTGCAGTGGTTCCACTCCTATCTCAACGGTCGATTCCAGAAGGTAGTACTGGGGGACCATGTCTCTGCGCCATGGTAGCTATGCCATGGAGTACCACAGGGCTCCATCCTATCCCCTCTGCTATTTAACATCTATATGAAACCGCTGGGAGAGGTCATCAGGAGGTGTGGGCTGTGGAATCATCAATACGCTGATGATACCCAGCTCTACCTCTCGTTTTCCACTAATCCAGGTGAGGCAGTGGCTGTGCTGAACCGGTGCTTGGCCGAGGTAATGGGCTGGATGAGGGCCAATAAACTGAAACTCAACCCAGACAAGACGGAGGTCCTGTTGGTTGGCGGATCGGGCTTCGGAGAGGGTGGATTTGACCTGGTCCTGAATGGTGCAACACTCCCTCTTAGGGATAAGGTCCGCAGCTTAGGAGTACTCCTCGACCCGGAGCTTTCTTTGGAAGCTCAGGTGACAGCGGTGGCGAGGAGCGCCTTCCTTCAGCTTCGGCTGATTAATCAGCTGCGCCCCTACCTGGAGTTCGACTGCCTGGCGACGGTGACACACGCGCTGGTGACTTCCCGCCTAGACTTCTGTAACGTGCTTTACGTGGGGCTTCCCCTGAAGACGGTCTGAACACTTCAATTGGTGCAAAATAGAGCTGCCAGGTTCCTGATGGGGACGGGGCGTTATGCTCACATGACTCCAGTCCTCCGTCAGCTTCACTGGCTGCCCATTGAAGCCCGGGCCCAATTCAAGGTGTTGATTATGACCTATAAAGCCCTAAACAGCTTGGGTCCGGGCTACCTGAACGAGCGCTTACGTCCGTATATGCCCGACCGCCCTTTGAGATCTGCGGGAGAGTCCCTTCTCCGGGAACCCTCCATGAAAGAAATTCGGAGAGTAAGTACTCTGAGGAGGGCTTTCTCTGCGGTGGCGCCCAACCTATGGAATTCACTCCCCAAAGAGGTCCGCCTGGCACCGTTGTTACTGGTTTTTCGGCGCCAGGTAAAGACCTTTTTATTTAAACATCATTTTAATTGTTAAAATATATGATCTGGCCAGGGCAACTTCTTCTTCCTTCTCTTTTCTCCTCCTATATTATTTATTTACTTATTTTATACTGATAATTTTAATTTTATATTATTATGTTTGTAACTCAATGTATTTTTTGTATTTTTGTATTTAATGGTAATTTATTATGTTCTATTGTATTTCAATGTATTTTATTGTGTTGTAAGCCGCCCCGAGGGTTCGGCAAGGGGCGGCATAGAAATGTTATAATAATAATAATAATAATAATAATAATAATAATAATAATTCTCCTCCTCCTCATTCCCACAACAACCCTGTGAGGTAGGCTGGGCTGAGAGTCTGTGACTGGCCCAAAGTCACCCAGTTGGCTCCATGGCTGAGCGGGGACTCGAACCCAGATCGCCTGAGTCCCAGTCCCATGCTCTTAACCCCTACACCACACTGGCTCCCCAGTAAGAGATCTATAAGCCACCTTGCCTAGTAGCCATTGATAGCCTCATCCTGCATAAATTTGCCTAGCTGCTTTGTGAACCATCCCAATTGGTAGTCATCACTGCATCTCGAGGTAGCCAACTCCACCATCTAATAGGGCATTGATTGATTGATTGATTTATTAGAACATTTCTATGCCGCCCCTTGCCGAAGTCTCAGGGCAGCTTACAACACAATAAAATACAAAAGTAACAATATAAAATTAAAATTAACAATATAAAATAAATAAAAAATATACAATATAAAAGAAGTCACCCTGGCCAGATAAATAAGCAAATATTGTTATGTGTTCCTACACATAAACCACAATCAGGCAATGGGAGTTACCGAGATGCACCACTGGGCGTAAGGTATTTCCTTTCTCTTTTTGATATAACAATACTAGCCCACATTGGGCTTTTTGGTGATCTCTGACTTGAGATCACGACTGAAAGGAAAAGAGTCTTTGCAGCACATACAGTGTCATGCCCTAAAGTGCTACTGGACAGCAACTGTGCTGAAGGCAGGCAGTGTTGACTGCGAAGTTATAAATAGGAGTTGCCAGGTTTAGATGAGTTCCTTACCAGCCTGACTCTGAATAACAGTGTTTGGACTAAACCGGATTGCATAAAACAGCAACGAGCAAATTTGTTTCAGGTTGAGTCTGCTTAAAGGGATGGTGGTCAGTCAGTCACTCTTAAAAGACTGGATGCACAGACCTACATACTTACCACCTGTAAATCATACAGCTTTTATTTGGAAAGAATCTTGGAGGTCATCTGTTGTTGTTACGTGCCCTCAAGTCACCTCCGAAGCAGTTCCTTCTCATGGTGGACATGGGAAGATGGCAGCAAAATCTTGATAGTAGTACACTTTGTAACCTGGTTTATGCTGCCTAAGCTAAAGTGTTGCCTTTGGGTTCAAGGGAAGAAGCTGTTCCATCACCAGCATTAAAGAAACAGCCTAGTCAGCATGTTTGTGAAATTTATTTATTTATTTATTTATTAAAACATTTCTATGCCGCCCCATTCGCCGAAGCCTCGGGGCGGCTCACAACATAAAGTTAAAATACAAAAAATAACAATATAAAATAAGTCGCCCTGGCCAGAAAAAATAAGCATAATATTAACAATTAGAATGACGCTTAAATAAAAAGGTCTTTGCCTGGCGCCAAAAAACAAATAACGACGGCGCCAGGTGGACCTCTTTGGGGAGCGCATTCCATAGATTGGGTGCCACCGCAGAGAAAGCCCTCCTCCGAGTACCTACCCTCCTAATTTCTTTCACGGAGGGTTCCCGGAGAAGGGCCTCTCCCGCCGATCTCAAGGGGCGGGCGGGTGTATATGCATGTAAGCTCTCCTTCAGGTAATTAGAGAAGGTCCCTTCTTCTTGGCCACAGGCAGCAAAATATCTTGTCTGGCCTTACTCCTACACTCTCTCTAGGTCTGAGGAAGAGAGAATTTCAGCAGGCGTGTTGTACAAAAGATGTACGCTGCATGAAAAACTGTAGCCTAAAGAAACACGTTCAGTCAGCCATTGCTGGTAGAAGTTGAGAATTCCTTTGCTCTGGAAAGTCAAGGCCATATTATGATTAGGTAAAGCCAGTGGACAGTAGCTTGCTGGTTGGCTATTTAGAACTATACACCCCTTAGAAACTGGAGGGTGTAACTGTTAGGGAATGTTAAGATGGGGCGTGAAGCTTCTTGTGGCATGAGCCAAGGGTTCGCCCTGCTGCGGCTGGTCTTTAATAAAATTCTCTTGAATTAAGAGCCATCAGTGTTTGTGATGGTTTCTCTCCTGAGACAATTTGGACTGGCAATTCAGTCCTCTTAAGCAACCAAAAGCAAATATTTTCACAAGTGCACACTATCCAAAGGGCAGGAGCCCCTCCATCTTTTGCTAGCTCTTCTGCATTTTTTTAAACTTGCGATGTTCTTGTGCTTTTTTTTTTTTTACATCAAGTGGACCATTGATCAAGTGGACCATCAAGAGGGCTCCACACCTGCAAACCACCTGCGGTTTCTTCCACCACCTTTTGCCACATGTGTAAGCCAGGCCTCTGAGCAACATCATGGGGGGAACAATAGCTTTACAGAGAAAGCAAGACCATTGGAGAAGACAATCCTGACAGGGAAGGTCAAAGGCAGAACAAGAGGAAGGCCAAATATGAGACGTCACAAAGAGGACATTTTAGGGGGGTTTCATTCATCGGGATGCCATAAGTTGGAGACAATGTATTTATTTATGTAGGTTTTTATATACCTCCTGTTTTCCAAGAACAGTTTACAAGAAATACCAGAACTTGATGGTGTGTAACAATAAAAATCTGAAGCTACTTTCTGTCAATAGCTGTGCATGGCTAAATCACCCAGAGAGCTTCCATTATTGGGTATTACAGGAATGACAATAATAAAAGAAACATCCAACGGGTGAGGGTCTCTTTGCATATTCATATTGAAGAGTTGTAGCAGCTGATCAATTTCTGTAGTCCTGGAGAAGCTTGGCCAGAAGAAGAGGAAGACAAGCTAGGAAATACCTCAAAAACAGCACAATTGTATACATTCTCCACAGGGGCGGTTAAATACAAACTTGCAACAGCTCAATCAGGATGCATGCATCTGTCGCACAGCAGTGCTGCAAAACCATTTTGCAGTCTCGTCACAATGTGCAACCTACTTGCAAACAAATTTTGCTCGTCTGTTCGGGGGCGAAGGATGAAAAATACCTGGCTGCATTAATGCAAGCAAACGTATAATAATTCGCCTAGGAAAAATTGCGGGGGTAGAAGGCACCACGCCCATTTCCAGCTTTTTAGCTTCCTCTCAGTTTCAGGAAGTGACAAATATTTGCAGCCGGGTCAGTCAGAACTCCCCCTCGCTCCAATTCTGTAACCCCCCTCAGTTTCTAGGAGGCTGCATGGGATTCTTGCAATGGGAAGGTGGAGGTTGATGTGGCAGCCCTGGGGCTGCAGAAAGCCCCCCGTTTTGAAGACTGCGGTGAGTGGAAGCGCTTTCTGCAAAATAATTAACAAAAATTGGCGTGTGCAACGGTAGCTTTTAGTCAGCAGCGCGGTTGGGGTGGTGGTGTTGTAATCATCGCCAGTGTGCGGACGTGCAAGAAGCGGCGTTTGCACATGGAGGAGGGGGCGTTATTGGTGAGGTGCAAGCAGGCAGACCGGGGAAGTTCAGCTTCTGGCTTTAGTGGCTAGGATCCTGGAGCACGTTCAGTCGCTGGGCGATCCCGCGCCGGTCAGCAGGATGCGCTTCCGAGTAGACACGGGTGGGTGCCCGCACGCGAGTAAGCGGCCGATGAGCGCCGAGGTGCAAAGGCTTGCGTGGCGGGGGAAACGTTTTCCGCAAAGGTTCCCGCTTGCCGCCAGCGTTAATCGCTGCCTCTTTGCGAAGTGCGCGCCCCTTGCTTCCCATATGGCGAGAGCGATTAGCCGGCAAGGAAAGCTGGCTGCTGTTTTCCTGCAGAGCAAGGGAACCGAGTGCCGCTCGGCACCTGGACGAGACCTTCCCCGCGCTCTTGCGCGCTTCTATTTGTGTACGCTTAAAAGTTGAACGCAACAAATCTCTTCGGGTAAGGAGCGTGCTTAGACGGAGAGAAGTCCTACAACTCCCAACATTCCTCAGGCGACATGGCTTGCTAGGGGATGCTGGGAGTTGTAGGAATAATTCCGCCCAAATATGCATAGCATAGCTCCCTCAGGACACTTTTATTTCGGCCTGAGTTTTCTTCATCGCCATGCTTTGGATGAATTTATACATATATTTTAAAAACTCGTGATATTATGCCACTCCGTGAGTGTGCTTAAAGTTTCTCCACTGCTTCCCTGAACTTGGACTTGGTGCCCTCTCTTCTTTCCCTTCAAAACCCCCACTCCCGTCTCCAGTCTTTCTAGTTCATCTTCATTCGCTGTATAACTCAACTTCCAAGCAGCAAGTTGATAGTCGTCCCCCTTTTTTTTCTCGTGGTTTACGTAAGCCTGCTTTTTTTTCTTTTCTTTTTTTGGCTCGACTGTTTGTTTTGTTCTGCAAAACAAAGTATACACGTTGCTAGCATTTTAATCACTTCCCACCCCTTTGACATCATCATCAAAACCAGTAGCGTATTCTGAATATCACAGGCCTGGGTCCAGGCTTCTGAAAAGAACCCTTTACCTGGACTTCACTAGTGCCATTTCATGAAAACTGGTCTTGGGTCAGGTTCCTCGTTGTTGTTGTTAATTTCATTTCTGTACCACCCTGTAGCTGAAGTTCTCTGGGCAGTTTACAACAGTTTGTTAGCCAGCTTGAACGTCTGGCTCTGAGCGGTTTTCTTCCAGCAGGAAAAGAAACCAAGTGCAGGGCCATATCCAGGCGCTTGTTCTGCAGCCATTCTGTGGAGCCCTGGAATGAAACAGACCATCACTAGTTTGCAAACCCCAGGAGGAGAACCTCTTTCCTGAAATTTGCATTATGTTGGCAGATGTGCAATGTGCCCACAGGTCCAAGTATTTAAATTCGAATCAAAATTAACTTGTCATTAACAATTGAAATGTGCAGTGCCTCTTGAAGTGTCCTACTGAGTTTGCTCTGAGTTTTCTGAGTGGCTTGCCTGAGGCTCTTGCTCCTGCCGCACCCCTTAGGAAATAAGGGGAAGGCTGGAAGTGTTTATAGATTTACTGCCTGAACTGCTGCTAGGCAGTCTCAAGTTAGGCTAGGAAAAAGTTTAAAGAGGCCAGAAAGAGTGCTTGAGGCAGACTGCTCCAGTCAAGCACCTCCCAAGTGTGTGGTCCAGTATATCTGGAGGGTGCCGGGTTGGGGGAATCTTGCTTGGACTGCAATCTTACGCATGTTTGACAGAAAAAAACGTGTATCTCCTCGCATTGTGGGTGCTTTTTTCCTGCATAAACATGAGTAGGGTAGTGCCTTTTAAAGCACCCTGAGGCCATCCAGTCCTGGCCATGCCTTCCTTTGATTAGGAAAATTGCTGGCTAAACCATGAAGAAATGTTCTAGCAATTAGCTGGAAGGCTCTGGACTCTTCTGAATAGGCACATACTTTTCTTCTTCCTTCCCCACCTCTGCTTAGGATAATATCATGTAGGTTTCTGTGCATATGGCCAGCAACAAAGCTCCTGCAGATGGAGGGAGAAGCCAGGCTGTACCAAGCACCATTTGGATGAGGCTGCCTCTGGAGAATGGATACAGACCAATGGAATTTGTTCCTTGTAGGAGTTAAGCTGCCTGACTTCCCCTACACTCTATTTGTGCGTGCATAAATAAAATTCAATATTGCAAGGAATGCCTTCAGCCTCCAGCCATCTTTTCCTTCAGAGGAAACCAAGTCTGGGCAAAGTGCCGACCCTGGATCTTCTCCCTGCTCTAGCTAGTAGGGAGCACATACTAGAGACAACAAATTTGGTCTCCCATGCAAGGTTATAATGATCATATCGCTTCATAAGAGCATAAGAAAAGCTGTGCAGAGCGATAGCCCATCCAGGCCAGCACTGGGTTCACACAGTGGCGCACCAGCGGCTCTGGGGATCTCTCAAGCAGGAGGGGTGCAAGAGTTCTGCCAGCCCAAGCCCTCAGCAGCTGGCACCTGTAGGGAATAATAGTGGTGGCACATAGCCAGCTAAGCGAGCAGGCACTGATAGCCGTTTCCTCCATGAATTTGTCTGGTGCCCCTTTAAAGCTATGCTAACTGGTGGCCGTCACAACATTTGCAGAAGTGAATTGCATAGTCTGACTATGAGTTGGATGAAGGAATCCTTCCCTTGATCCGTCCTGAATCTTCCACCAATTAGTTCCTCAGTCTGGTGTCCCTCAAAAGCTTCTGACGAGCTCCTAGAATTCCAGACTTGGATGGGGCTAATGGGAGTTGTACTGTAAATCATGTGGAGGGTGCCAATTTGGGCGAGGCTGTTTAAGCCAGTTATGATGCATGCATTACCAGTGCGATCCTACTCAGACGGGTGCTCCATTCGCGATGTCAATCTCAGGTAAGTGGATCCAGGAGGACAGCCTAAGGTTGTACTCACTTATTTAGGATTACGTTCCACGGAACTCCTTGGGGCTTACTTCTGAGTAGACATGTCTAGGATCGTACTGTTCAACACTACATAAATGCAAGTGCCTTAATAATACTTGACCTGCATTTATCACTGCAATTATTTCTTTAATTGGTCAATTTAGAACGCTGCCTCTATTCAGAGTGGGCAACTTGTACCTTCCAGATGTTTTGGCTTGCAACTTTGTCAGTCCAGAAGTTGTCTGCACTTGTTTACTGGCTGAATTGCTGCATTTCTCTTTCAGCTTGCCAGAGCATTTCATCAGTAGCTAGTGAGCAAGGCCATGTGGTGATAAATCGCATTAACGATTTATTTCCTGCCTTGTTTTTCATTATAAAATCCAGGGCTTTGACTGCAGGATTCCTAGGCATTCTTCCAGGCAAGCCGGAGCAAGGTTCGGCCTACTTGGCTTTAGCAAGGTCAGCACATCACGAAAGGCATTTGTTTTCCATCTGTTCTCAGAGCAGAGTATGTAGCTTGAACTGTGCCTCTCCCTGTCCAGTTTCCTTCAACTCCAGCCAGTAGTCAGAAATACTGGGAGTTCCCGTCCAAAACACCTGAAAGGCTTGTGTCAGGCTGACTCAGTCTCTGGCCTGAGTCAGCCTCTCGAATGAGTGGGGACCGAAATGCTGTGGCCCTCAGGTCCAAGTCCACGACCGTCCGTCACTTTGCCACTTCTACACTCCTAGGGCAGAAAAGAGCAACCAAAATGATCAAGGGCCTGGAGCAATATTCCAATGGGGAATGATTCCAACAGTTCGGAGTGTTTAGCATAGAAAAAAGGTGAGGAAGGGGAGAGATGAGAGAGGTGCTTAAAATGATGCGTGATCTGCAGAAAGTGCAGAGGGAGGCATTTTGCTTTCCCTCCCATAACATCTCAAGATGATAGATTGAAAATTCAGGACAGATAAAAGGAAAGACTTCTTCATGCTTGTGGTGTCAACCTGTGGAATGCATTTCCATGAGATGTAATTATGGCCACCAATGTGAAGGACTTTAGAAGGGGATTTGAGAAATGCCTGGAGGAGAAGGCTATCAATGGCTGTTAGCCCTGGTGGCTATATGCCACCTCCAATATCATTATCCCTGTGTACACCAGTTACTGAATTTCACTTACTATGGATCTTTGTGGAATAAAACAATGACCTGTGCCAAAATATAGCATTTCTCCTCCCCCCAAAAGGGAAGGTCTTTGAATGTGATCTAAGGACCTCTTGATCTGCAGTAAAAGCTCTTGCTGCTGAACTCACCCGATTACATGGCCGATTGTCACCAAGTCCTCACACTAGTCCTATTCTTTACTCTCATGTTTCTGTAAAAAAGCCACTGCATTCCTCAAAAGGAAGGGGGCACCCGGACTTGAACCAGGGACCTCTTGATCTGCAGTCAAATGCTCTACCGCTGAGCTATACCCCCTGCACATGCACACGCCTCCCCAGCAAGCCTGCTTATGGATACTGGTTCTGCCACTTCGCTCCCTACCATCCCTTTAATGAGCAATGCCTTCAGACTCTCTCCCTGTGATGTCACTCTTCCCTCAGAAATGCTTCTGCTGAGGAGCAGGCTCTTGCACTTTTGAGCACCTCAAGTAAGTTAGAGCACCCTCTCCCCTTGTGCCCCCCGCCATGTGGGGCTGCCCCACCATGTAGTGATGACCACACACCTGGGCAGCTGGGAAAGGTGGGGCTTGGAGAATCCATGGAGCAGGAAGCCAGCCACGGTTTAACATTTCTTGTAAATCACCCCGAATCTTTCCCAAGGAAGGCCCCTAAGAAATTGATGAAATAAATCGCACCCTTGTTGGCTGCAAGTCACGGCAGGGGCAGGGAGACGGAGGGGGCCGTTGCGTTCCTGTCCTGCTTGTGAGTTCCTGTGGGCAGCTGCCAGGTTGGACTGCTGCAGGGGGCTCCCCTGAAGGCAGTCTGGAAACTTGAGCTCAGCTGCTGAGATTCTGGGTTGTGGCCGGCCCACAAACCTCCGGTCTTGCTCCGCCTGCCCTGGCCGCCCATGCGTTTCCAGGGTCAGTTCAGAACGGTTGGTTTTCATCCTTAACACCATGCATGTGTTGGGCCCAAGCTAGTTGCGGGGTTCCTTCCTCCCAGTGCATGGGAATTCACTTCCACAAGACCTATGGATGCTGTCCAGTTTGGGCAGCTTTAAAAGGGATTGGACAAGCTCGTGGAGGAGAGGACTGCCAATGGCTACCAGTGCTGATGGCAATTTTGCCTCCTAGAAGGATAAGGAAACTCTTCATCCAAAAGTGTTGGATTTGGTACGACCACAAAAGTGTTGGGATAGATGTTTTCGTCCGTAAGGCTTGGTCCACAAAAACCCAACTTCCTGTGTTCAGTATCAAAAGTATGAAAGGGCAATGGAGATTGAGTGGGTTCCTGCCCTCCACCTAGGCCGGTGGCGCCAACCCTTTGCAGCCCAAGAGCCAGATTCATTTTCAGAGAAGCACGGGGTGTATTCCCATGGTGGTGGGAACAAAGGCAGAAGCATGCCCAAAAGGGCTATTGCAGGTTGCAGTTCGTTCTGCTGGTGGCTAATCTCAGGAGGAGCAATCCAGTCTTTTAGAAGGTGGTGGGAACCGCTCAAAGACGGGGGAACCACCTCGGAGGGTGGCCAGCAGAACAGGGCTTCTCAGCCAACCTTCTCCAACCTGGTACTGTCCAGATGTTGTGGACTTCTGACTCTTATCAGCTGCAGCCAGCAGAGCTGAGATTGTGGGAGTGAAAGCCTCTCGGGGTCACCGGATTGGAGAACCTGCTTTAGCCAAGTGCAGCTCCCCTTCAGGGATGCCAAGCGCAACACACATCTAGGTTGCAGGTTAGCTCACACAGTGTCCGTGGCTTCTTTGCAGATTCTGCAGCCCTGAGTACCAAACTCCTGATGAGGGCCTGAGAAATGAAAGCACACCAGTGTGCATCTACCTGAGGTGGAGACTCAGCAGCCATTGAAGGGGTCAAGGGTCAGTTTAGCTGAAACGGCTGTCTGAACGCGGTGCGCTTGTTTCTTCTTCCCTTCCAGGTGCTGCATCGCACGCATGCGTCTTTCCCACTGCCCCGCCAGCCCCTGCCCCCGCTGGCCCAGACCATGGCCCGATACCTGCGCTCCCTGGAGCCCCTGGTGAGCCCGGAGGAGCTGGAGCAGACGCGGCAGCTGGTGACGGAGTTTGAGGCTCCGGGCGGAGAGGGGGAGCGGCTCCAGGCACGGCTGCAACGCAGGGCGGCTCGCATGGAGAACTGGGTAAGGACCCAGGAATCTCTGGCAAAGAGGGGAGTTAGAAGCGGACAAAGTGTCCAGTCCCAGCAGAGCTCCCTGTCTCAGGAATGGTTCCCCACAGCTGTTCTCTCCCATGCAAGTCCAATCATAGGCAAAGGGCTCTTAAATCCAAGAGAAGCGTTAGCAGGTTCCTCTCTTTGTTATGCCCCTTGGCTGCTCTCCCATTCAGTTAGAATCAGGTTTGTAGGCAGCAATAACCCAGAATTTTGGAGAATCTTCTTCATCGAGAACAAAGTGCATGCTGGCAGCCCATTTGCTTGCATGTGTTGTCCCAGGGTCTCTTCTCGATCATCCCAGAGTGCAGGACACAGAATAATGGGCTCAGGTTACAGCAAGCCCATTTCTGGCTGGAACATCAGAAGGAACGTCCTGGCTGTTGCAGCAGCACAACAGTGGACCCCCTGACCCCGGGAGGTTGTGGGTTCTCCCGCACTGGAGGCATTCAAGGTGCAAATGGACAGCCATCGGGGAGGGATGCTTTCACTTGGGCTCCTGCACTGAGCAGGCGGTCTGGCCTCCTCCAGCTGTACTATTCTATGATTTGGCTCACCAGGAATGGTTTGTGTGAACCAGGTGGGCAACTTGCAGCTCTCCCTAACCCTAAAACCATCATCATTGGCTATGCTAGCTAAGGGCTGGTGGAAATTATAGGCTAAAACATTCCTCAGCCCACCCCTGCAAGACGCTTAGTGTGTCATCTGAACTGGGGCCTCTGGCTTGTTGCGCCAAACCCTAGGTTATGATTCAGGGAGCAATAACCCATGATGCTCAAGTCAGACTCAAGTTGTCTGATGCTTTCTAGATGTTTTCAGTGGCAGCCCTATGCTTATGAATTGTTGTGAACCAGCTAAACTTCTTTGGCTATTGGGTAGTATAGAATCATCATCATCATCCAGAATTCCTGGCCATGGTGGTTAAGGCAGGTGGGGTCTCCAGTCCAAGACTGGAAGGCTCCAAGTTGAGCAAGTGTACTCCCCACTAGTCAGACCTCACCTGGAATACTGTGTCCAGTTCTGGGCACCAAGATTTAAGAAAGAAGCAGAAAAATTAAAAAGGGTCCAGAGGAGGGCAACAAACATGATCCAGGGTTTGGAAACACTGCCCTGTGAGGAGAGACTGAGAGAACTGGGCATGTTCAGCCTCGAGAAGAGAAGACTGAGGGGGGACATGATATCCCTCTAGAGGTACCTCAAAGGCTGTCACAAAGAGGAAGGTCAAGGTCTCTTCTTGCTGATACCAGAGTATAGGACACAGAATAATCAACTCAAGTTGCAACAACCCAGGTTCAGGCTGGACATCAGGAAAAGCTTCCTCACTGTCAGAGCAATACGACAGTGGAACCAGCGGCCTGGAGAGGTGGTGGGCTCTCCCACACTAGAGGCATTCAAGGTGAAACTGGGCAGCCATCTGAGTGGGATGGTGTAACGTGGTGTCCTGTACCAGCAGGGGGTTGGACCCAATGGCCTTCTTGGCCCCTCCCAACTCTACTATTCTATGAGTCTATGAAATAAATTCTTCCTGGTTTGTGTGATGGCTGTCCCAGTGGGGAGAAGCAAAGTCGGAGTGAACGAGCTGAAAGTGGCAGCCCATATCTTGTTCTTGTTAAGCCGGGCTTCTCTGGAGATCTGGCTTGCCGCTGGGTCTCAAGACAGACCATGCCTGCCCTCCTGGGGTGCTGCGGGGTCAGCCTCTGAGCTTTGTCCGAGGAGCAGAGCCCTTCCAAGACCTCCTTTGCTGTCTCCATTGGAGCAGGCGGGAAAGGAAGGCATCCAAAAATCCTATCCGGTACTTGCCAGGGGAATTAGTGACTGAGCAGGAGAGAGGGTTTTCCTTTTCTCTCACTGTCTTGTAATACTGCAAGATGTTATTTATATTCATTCATTTATTCATTAGTTAGTGAATATAATCATATACTTCCCAACTTGTCCATCAGGATGGTTTATAGTCATAAAAGCAGATTGGGAACAGATTTCTTCCCAATGCAAATCATAGCTTCAGAGGAGCAAATTCCTTCTGCACCATGGCAGGGGAGGAAAGGATCCGATTGTTTTTCGCCTGAATCGCTATCTACCAACCCATCTGAGTTCTTGCAAGTTTTTGTTTCTAAAACATCCACATTAAAATTTGCCCCTGACACAGTTGCACATTCTCTTGTGGCTTTGCGCCCTGCCTCTGTTTCCTCTGTGTCGAATTTTGGCTTCTTACAGAGGGCAGAACTGGCCCCTCATTCACTGCAAAGTGCTACTCGTGTTGCCGGCACGATAGAAATAAAAGTGATGGATGTTGGCCCACTCAGTGGCTCTCAAGTCTTTGCAAGACAGAACAGGGAGGGTGTGCTGGGCAGGGTGGGGGGCAAGCGGCTGCAGAAGTGTTTCCCCTCCAAGCAATTTCAGTCTCACCAGCATTGCTTTGCCAGTAATCTATTGTTACATACAAGTCTCTGAGCATACGCAAAGCGAAATGTTGAGCCCTTTCTGACATTTATTACCCAGAACTCTCTTTATGAACTCTTCCGCATCTCTCCCTTGGGGCAGAGTCCTGGGAAAGCGCTCATGCCGGCAGTCTGTCTGCTGTGTACCTAATTGGACTTCTCTCCAATGGTGAGATCCAGCGACCGGGATCGGGTTTACCTCTTCGAAAGGCAGAGAAACTACCCATTTCACTGTCCACTCACTCAAGAGGCTGCAGTTCCCCCCCTCCCCCATTCCCACAGCCAAGTAGACTGGTCCCTTCCTCTGCCCCTGGGCTGATCTCCCCCATATGTATTTCCTGCAGAGTCCATGACCTCAGACTGCAGTTGGAGCTTGAACCATTTCAGAAACAGTCTCGTCTTCCAAATCTGAGTTGTCAGTCTCACGAGGACGGGCCACCTCCCAGGTTCTGCCAGGAGACATGCACACAATAAGGAGAAAGTCTTGCAGGCTCTCTCTCTTGCTCCAGATATTCTAACGGCCTTTTAATTTATCCCAGATCACAGACTGGTGGATTCAGTCTGCCTATCTGGAAAGCCGCCTACCCCTGGCCATCCACTCGAACCCGGCCGTTGTGCTGCCGAAGCAGGATTTTAATGATTGGAAAGGACAGCTGAGGTAAGGACTGGGGTGGAACGGGGCTCGGGGCAGCTTTGGGGGCCCTTGGGCATGGCTCTGGAATGGGAAATGGCAAGGAGAATGTCAGGGTGGCGGAAATCCTGTCCTCCTGGCCTGCTGGCGGCTTCCAGTCTGCGGCCGTTTGGCTGCTGTGCGAACAGAATCCTGGACAGATGGGCCCCTTTTTGAACCAGCCTGGCTTTTCTTGCAGGAAGGCTGTGTGTTTGCAGAGCTCCTCGTTTCATGAGGACTAGCAGCTATGTTTTGCCAGCTTGCCATCCAGAGCATCCACTTGATAAAGGAGGATCTCCCCATTTTCCTTCCGAAGGAGCCTTCGTAAGAGTAGTTGCAACTCCCCCTTCTGCGAGGCACAGAGGTCCTGTCGCTTCCTCCAGGATGTTGTCAGTCCTGCAATCTCTGACCTGCGCCTCGCTTCTCCCTCCTTATCATCCCCTGGAATGCGCTGTGCGGCTCCTCCCCGTCTCTCCTCAGAATAAACAGCTTCTTCCGAGCACTTCGGACCAGTGCTGCAGCTGGTGTGGCTTGGAACAAGCTTCAGCCTTTAAACCTGAGGCCAAGTCCTATTCCAGAGGCTCTTGGGGGAAGTATGGGAGGCCTGGTTGTGGGGAGGGGGGCAGAAGGGCAAATGGAGCAGCCCACGAACAGCAGCATATTTTAGCTTGAAGTGCTTACTGCTTTAGAAATGCTTTGTGAGGCATTTCGGCCTTTGCAAAGGAAAAAAAAGCACAAACAGGAAAGCCCTGGACCAGCAACAGTCAGGAGAGGTGATGGGGCCAGGGAAGGCCCTACATGATGAGGCCTACCCCTTCGGTTCTCCAGTCCTGGCTTACAGTCTTCAGAACAATCCTATTCAGTGGCTGAGGGTCTGGCCCTTTCCTCCTTCCCTTCAGGAATCTGGGTGTGGCTGTGGATGATGGTGTTCCCACACAGCCAGCCCAGGACTTGGATCCTTCTGGGGCTGACGTGTGACACTGGATCCTGCCACACAGTAAGGAAGCCGCATGAGCCGCATGCGGGCAACTCGTGGCCCTCTGCACATTCATGGAACCATAGAATGGTAGAGCTGGGAGGGGCCACCAAGTCCATCGGGTGCAACATCCTTAGCAGAACATTCAGGATAGTTTCCTGGTGTTCATCTGGAATTTGCCTTCCTGGAACTTGAGCCTGTTCTGTGTTCTGTACTCTGGGATGATTGGGAAGAGGTCCTGGCCCTCCCCGGTGTGACGGGCGTTTCCATGACTTGAAGAGTGCCGTCCTACCTTCCCTCGGTCTCCTGTTCTCAAGACGAAGCGTCCCCCAGTTCTTTCCTTCCCGTTCCCAGGTCATCCGTGGTGCCCTCCTCTGAACCTTTTCTGTTTCGTATGTGACTTTCTCAAACGGCAGTGTCAGGAACTGGATACGGCACTGCAGAGGAGGCCTAAGCAGCGCTGAGGAGAGGGGAACTAGTGCATCAAGTGACTCGGAAGGGATCCTTCTACTAATAAAGTCCAGAATAGCACTCTCCTTTTTGCAACCCCATCACAATGTTGATTCATGCTCAGCTTGGGATTGACAGCGATCCCAAGCTCCCGCTCATTGGTCGTATCGTCGAGCCAATTATCCTCCATGCTCTAGCCATGCACCTTCCCAGGTGCAGAGCTTGGCACTTGTCCCTGTTAATTGTCACTGTGTCGCTTTCAGCACAGCACTCCCACCTATTAACATCACCTTGAATTTTGTTTCTGCCTTCCAGGGCGTTAACTATCCCACCCAGTTTTGTGTCATCCACAAATTAAATAACCATTTCCTGAGCTTCATCAGGTGTTGAAGAGCGCCAGGCCCGGGACTGACCCTTGTACTGCCCCACTTGTTATCTCTCCAGTGTGTAAAGGCGCCATGAGCCCAATTCTGTAGCCAGCGGTGAAGCTGCCTGACAGTTAATCCATTTAGTCCATGTTCAGCTAGTTTCCTGATCAGGGTATCCTGAACACTTTGCTTCAGCAGCTTTGCTGAGGTCAAGATACATGTTTTCCACAGTTCCACATGACATTTCCACGTTTCCTGATTACAAAAGGAGATCAAACAGGCAGGGTTTCTTTTTGGCAAACCCATGCCAGCTTTGTGTAGTCACCACATTGCTTTCCAGGCGTTTGCAGCCCCACCGCTTGCTGATCTGCTGCTGCAGAATTTTCCTTGTTGTGGCTTCCCTGGTTGCACCGTGCTGGATAAATCTGACGCAGCCCATCAGTGGCCCACCCTGGCACAGGGCACGGGCTGTGCAGTTAGTTTTCCTGCAAATCCTTCTCGTTGGATGAATGCTCCCCGCTCCGCTGAGTTGGTGTGTGTGTCCCCGAGCAGCAAGCTATTACTGCTGATGTGACTGCATCTGTCACGACACACACCCGCCCTGTCACCCAAACGCTTCAGAATGAGTAACCATGATTAGAGAGTTTATCCAAACAAAGAACTAGTTGAGCATGATGTAAAATGAAGCATAATTATAATTTGTGTGGGTGGCAAGTAACATGGTGATCTCTGCAATTAATAAACCTGCTATTGGCAGCAGATCAAAGTGGACTGAGTGAATGAACCAGTATCCCTAACTAGACTTCTTGGGAAAGAACAATGGCGTAGGGGGTATAGCTCAGCGGTAGAGCATTTGACTGCAGATCAAGAGGTCCCTGGTTCAAGTCCGGGTGCCCCCTCTTTTTAGAGGAATGTATTCTCAAATACAGCCTTCCCTGTTCCTAGGAACACAGAGTGGATAGAAACTAGAAATTCTTTTTAGCAGAAGACTGTGTGAAGGAATGGTAGGACAGACAACATATTCTATAGCGAAGCTTTTAGTGATGCAAATGTGTATAGGAGTTTAGCTCAGTGGCAGAGAATTCAGAATCAGACCTTGAGGCCCCAGGTTCAAATCTTTTGGAGGTTGCATTTTGAGTTCCTGTGCTCAAAAGCTCCTTATGGATGAAGTCTAGAAATACTAAACAGATAATGCAATATGAAGTATTATTTTTCCGCATCGAATGAAAAATGCAAACAACATTTATGTAATTTACCATGCTGATTCAGCAATCCATACATTTTAAATGGCTTAAATGGCCAAAGTGTTTTTCTGGTGGCAGTGGGTGAGGCTTCAGGAAGGGCACTCCGAGGTCTGAGACACGCTCCGTGGGCTTTCCATCTGGCCATATGGGTGCGCACTGTGGGAACAGGATGCTGGACTAAATAGACTGTCGGCCTGATCCAGCACAGCTCTTCATTTATGAGCCCCAGCATGACCGGCGGTACAACTGTCTGATCCAGGGAGAATCTTGAAGGCAGTGGGAGATCTGGGAGATGCTTTATCCTTCTCCAGCCCTTGGGAGATTTGGCAAATTGGTTAAGATGTTAGAGGGCCTATTCCCAGTGGCAAGATAGCAGACATATTCCTGGACAGTCCAAGGAATTCTCGCATTTCCCGCGGAGGGCAGAGAAGTGTCTGTGGAAAATGGCTTGCCAACCCTTGGAAATCTGTCTCTGGCTGCCACGGAAAGTTGTGGGGGTGAGATGAAGGGGATGCCATGGCTCAAGCTCCATGTCGGGTGACACTGTGCTCCGATGAACCTTTTTCGATGCACAAATGTGCAACGAGTTCTTACTTAGACATAAAGTTGTACAGAGAGTTCCCTTGTAGGTATAACGCTTGAAGGCCATTAGTCATAAGTATAGGGCAAAGAACTGTGTAGCAAAACCACTGTCCATAACTAGAGTTTAGGTGACAGATGATTTTGTGTTGGGGGTATAGCTCAGCGGTAGAGCATTTGACTGCAGATCAAGAGGTCCCTGGTTCAAGTCCGGGTGCCCCCTGAACTTTTGCGGAAGTTAATCAAAATTTTAGCATTCCCTTTTCACAATTTCTCATGGAGGGTAAAATTCAGACATATTTATTGGAAACCTTGGAATGAATGATGAATGGGACCTCCCTTATTTTTAATTTCTTCCTTATTCATTCAGTTCTTCCTCCACCCTGTTTTTTGCTTTTCACAAAAGGTACACAAGGCAGCTTATGTAAAATCAATGTAACATTAAGCAAGATCTCCTAAAAGCAAGTGAACAAGCAAGACCTCGAGCTGTTGATATCAGCAGCAGAATATCCCTTAAATGTACCAAGGCCGGCTGGCCCGAAAGTATCTTTCTTCCGTGCCTGAAAGTATGGGCCAAGCAAACATCTCCTGGAATGACTCCAAAGATCCTTCTTGCTGCAGTGGAGAAGCCTCTCCCCCCACCAGGTTCATACCCTCCATATTTCAGGTGGCAGCAGAACCCAAACCCAAAGGGGAGCCTCAGAAACATGACAAGTCCTGAAGCATGTGACTTTTTAAACCTTTACAGGCTATTTCGGGGCACTGCATCCACACAGCCATTCATGCATACAATTACTTTGCTATTTATGTATGCAGTAGTAATACTTATATACACTTTAATGTAATCTCTAAGCAGTTTACATATCACTATTAAGCACTTCAGCCAAAGTATCATTAAAAGACAATTCAAAAAACACCAAGATGGAGCGGTCACTTTTAGATTAATTGCTAGCCAGAGAACGTCTGGGTGAGCTGGTGTGTTTTCAGGAGATTTTTAAACGACAGTATTTGCGGCTTCCTTGGGGGCGGGGCAGTACTCCAAGGAGTAGGTGCCACCAGTGGGAAGGCCCTCCTTTCGGATACTGCATGGCAACATGTTCATGCAGATACACACCCATTCACACACTCAGACATGCACATTCTTGCCTTGCACACACAGATACACACCCCCTCAGAGACATTTTTTTCCTCCACAAAGACACACAACTCCACTCAAGACAGGGCTCGCTCTAGCTAACAGTGTTTCCAAGGAAAGCAGTTCCTTATTTATTTATCTGCCTTTCCTCTCTTGTGAGGAACCTTAGGGGGCGCACAAACCTCCCCTTGCTACGACAACCCTGTGAGGTAGCTTAGACAGAGTCAGTGCCCTGCCCAAAGTCACCCCGTGAGCACTTCAGTGACCCCAACACACCACACTAGCCCCTATTTTCACCTCTTCCCCAGGAGGGAAGGTTATTCCTTGCTAGCCATGGTGCTAGTCCAGGAGAAGCTCCCAAGATCCTGGAAGAATTTCTAAAAGTGTGTTTGCCATTGGCAAAGGGGAGAATAGAGTCACATCTTCCTGCTTGGGAATCCTGGAAAGTTTCTCTTGGGCTCCTTGGTGTTCTTGAGTGTGATCTCTCTGTGAGGACTAAGAAGAAAAGAGCTCGTGCTGCGTCCATCCGGAGGCTCAGCTGTGGGTGGTAGGTTATTTTTGGGATTTCCAGAGAGTGATATGCCAGCTCTAGATTTACGAAGAAGGAGATGGTTCTTTATTGCAGTAATGCCCGAATGCGAGCTCGATTTCCATTACATTTAGCAGCAAGCATCTTACCCTGCGCAACGAGGGTCTCTGCAGGGGAGGTTCCGACAGAGTCAGCAGAATCCCCTTCAAAGGGAGGCTTTGAAACCAGAGCACAAAGAACATGGTGGGCTTCATAGATTACGGTATTCAGCTCATGTGTACAACATTCTACCCATTTCAAAGGTAGGATTATCTCATGGATAGTTTTGGTACTGCTATTTACACAGGCGCTAAGGAATAATGACATTCAGTGAGCGAGTAAGGAGCAGTCGCGTCTGGATGGTCGAGGTTCTTCTCTGTCTGCCATCGGAGGAAAGGCTTATCCTCTCCTCTGGCCTGCAGAAGCAGAGGCTGATGAGGGGTGTGCAGGGCTGCAGGTGTGCAGAGTGTGTGGTCCTCGTACTGTATTAATACCGGAAAGGAAAACTCGGCTCCATGGAAGCAGACTGTCTGGGTCAGGAGAACGCTGACTAAAGCTCTGTTGTGCTACTGCAAGCACCTAGCTTCTGATGCCAAGCCAAGCAAGCATTTTAAAAAGCTGGAGACCCGGGCCTAGCTTTTTGGGGTTCAGGCCTGTAACTCCACCTAATCCAGCTTTCTGCTCCCAGAGAGTAGCCAGTGAGAGGCCTACATGGGAGGCCCATAAATAGAACAGGAACGCAACGGCCCCCTCCGTCTCCCTGCCCCTGCCGTGACTTGCAGCCAACAAGAGTGCGATTTATTTCATCAATTTCTTAGGGGCCTTCCTTGGGAAAGATTTGGGGTGATTTACAAGAAATGTTAAACCGTGGCTGGCTTCATGCTCCATGAATTTTCCAAGCCCCACCTTTCCAAGCTGCCCAGATGTATGGTCATCACTACATGGTGGGGCAGCCCCACATGGCAGGGGGCACAAGGGGAGAGGGTGCTCTAACTTACTTGAGGTGCTCAAAAGTGCAAGAGCCTGCTCCTCAGCAGAAGCACTCCTGAGGGAAGAGTGACATCACAGGGAGAGAGTCTGAAGGCATTGCTCATTAAAGGGATGGTAGGGAGCGAAGTGGCAGAACCAGTATCCATAAGCAGGCTTGCTGGTGAGGTGTGTGCATGTGCAGGGGGTATAGCTCAGCGGTAGAGCATTTGACTGCAGATCAAGAGGTCCCTGGTTCAAGTCCGGGTGCCCCCTTCCTTTTGAGGAATGCAGTGGCTTTTTTTACAGAAAGAGATCTGAACAGAGAATGGGCTCAAATTCCTGGAATACAATTTCTGACTGATCATCAAGAGAAACTTCCTGACAGTTAGAGCAGTCCTGAAATGGAACCAGTTACCCAGGAAGGTTGTGAGCTGTCTCACTTTGAAGGCCTTCAAGATGTAGCTGGACACCCACCTGTCAGGGATGCCTTACCTGGAGTCCTGAATTGAACAGGGGCTTGGAATCGATGGCCTTCTTGGCCACTTCCAACTCTACTGTTCTATGATTGTACAATGGTTGGATGCGATAACTTTAAACATTTCTAATTTTCATTGAAATTGTGTTAGTTTAAGCGGTTTTAAATTTTGTTTATTGGAACTTTATGTTTTATTGTTCTATTTATATTATTCTTCCTGTGTTTATGAGTTGTTGTGAAGCACCTAGAGAGTTTCAACTCCTGGATGGTATGGAAATGAAAATCGCCACCATCATCAGAAAAGACAGAACAAATTAGAGGTCTAGGTGGCAGTCAGTTGGACACTGGTGTGGTGGAATTAATCAGCAACAGATCAGGAAGCCCTTGGTCCCCTCCAAACACCTCCTCTTTTTGGGAAAGAGAAACGTGATAGTTCTGCATTTTTAGTTTTTCTGTCCCGCAAAGATTTAGGGTGGGCACAATTTAGGAGCACCATTGGCAGAGGGTATAGCAAAGCAGTGTTGGAGTGCTGTACCTTGTACTCTTTTTCTGGCAGTGGTGCTCATGTCTTCTCAAAGAGCAGCATTTGCCAGTTTCGTGAGCTGGGGAGCGGTGGGGGACGGGGAACTGGTTTGACCTGGCCGTGATCCTCTTAATAGGTAGGCTAGAATCAGACTGTTACTTGCCCGTATTCACCTGTTGGTTGTGATGGCAACGCCAGGTCTCCCCAGCCAAAATTTAGCATCTTAATGATGCCCAACCCTTTGCCAGCTCACTGTTCTATCCCTGTTGGTCAAGCGTAGCTATCTGGGTGTTAGGTTCTATACTCTGAAATTAATTGCCACGGATGCCTTGGTTCCCTCGACTTGCTTGTGGTCGTGGCCGGGTCAGGATGGAGAGCTCCCTGGCCTTCAAACGGACCATTGCGCCGTTCTCCAGGCAGCTGCTGTAAGGTGAACCCTTTTGCCCATGCAGGTCAAGAGATGCAAATGGCAAAATTGCAGTAGCTAAGAACTCTGAGGTCAGGCCCATACATTTTGCCTGGCCTTGGTTGCCGGACAAAATGCATGTCCTTCTGATGGGACAGAGTCTTGGTTGTCCTGGGCTCTCCCACACTGGAGTCATCCAAAAAGAAAGCTGGACAGTCCTGAGTGGGATGGTGTGAATCGGTGACCTGCACTAGCAGGGGGTTGGACCCGATGGCCTTTTGGGCCCCTTCCAGCTCTACTGTTCTATGATCCTATGAATATAATGGACAGACGTGCAAGAGGTTGTCCCTTGGCAGAAACATTTATGTTGGAAGAATTGCCTCCAGGGAGAACACTTGAAAGCATTCCTCATTCAACTGCTGGTGGAGAACTATGTGGCAAAACCAGTATCCACGAGTATGCTTCCTGTTTAGACCATTATATGTGCAGGGGGTATAGCTCAGCGGTAGAGCATTTGACTGCAGATCAAGAGGTCCCTGGTTCAAGTCCGGGTGCCCCCTGAACTCTTTTGGTTGCTTGCTTTTAAGGATTTTGTTGGAGTTTTCGTCGTCATCTTCCTGAAGATCATAGTGGGTAACCTGTGGATATACCTCATGAAAGATGATGTAAAATGAACCTGTTAACCAGAAACCTATAGGATATATTTAGTTTCCTTTCCTAGAAATCTTGCTGACCAATACCTGCATACAGTGTAACATGTAGGTATTTTGGGTGCCCCCTTTCCCCCCATCACATTAAAAGTTGTGTGACTGTGGGTCTAAACAACCCTTGGATGTCTCTCTGCTCCTTCCTTGCCTGGCCCATGGGACATTTATCCCAAATGGACCAATTACGTTGGAAGTTCTGAGACTCCAAAGAGGAGGAGTGTAGTTTGAGAAAATCCTCTTAAGCCCACTATTTTATTTGATGGCTTTACAAATTCCATTTCTAGCCCTCTTTCCTATTCTTTTTTACTTTTACTATGTACAGAAAGCAGTGGATAAAATCTTTCTGCAAATGTGTAACCAGCCTGTATAGGTTTAGCCTTCTCTAGCCTGATGTGTGGCAGATGTTTTGAACTTTAACGCCACTCGACCCACATCTCCCTAGTCCAACACTCTAAGCCCTGCGAGGGTGGCTCTCAACTTTGCAGGGTGATCGCTATTCAGAGCGATGTCCATGAATCCGATGCAGTGGACTCTAGTCCTGGGGAAGACTTCACACTCTTGGGCCACACCTAGCCCTCTGGACTTTCCACATCTGCTGACCCCACCTGCTTTCCTCCAAATTTCATGAGTTCCAGCTTATGTACAGTTTTTCCCCCATACTAAAAAGCCGAAATGCCTCCCCGCGGCCTAGCCTTGTTTTCCTTTGACACAACTCCCTTTGTTTTCTTCTTGCCCACACTGGAATGCAGCTCGCAGCTCTAAAACCGAATTCAGCCCTTAGGCTGAAGAGGTTTCTCATACTTGTGCTAGTCCATGAATCTTATCCCATAATAAATGTGTTAGATTTGATGAGGCTGCAAAAATCCATTATTAAAATAACGATAATGCTGAGGGACAGGGTTTTTGAGCATGAAGGTGCTTTCTCCTCTTCGGCAGGTAGCTTAGTTTTAAAAAGCAAAGAGCACCTCTGAACATGTGCAGAGCAGGTTTATTGCTGGACATAAGGAGCTAGCACTGCAGAGTGGCCACTAGCTCAGGTTTCTGCCTAGGTCTTTTAACCTGAGATTTCTCTCTCTCGTGCAGGTTTGCTGCAAAACTCATTGCTGGTGTGCTGGATTTCAAGGCAAAGATTGACCAGTGAGTACTCTGGCTGGGGAAGATGGGAAATGCAGAGATATTCGTGTAGGGTGTGGTGTTTTCCTCATCAAAATCGGGGGGGGGAGGATGTAAGTGAAGCCTTATACTTGGAAATTGGCATATGCCACTTGTTCTGCCAAATGACAAGGATCTTGCCACCTTTATGTGTCTGGATGGGGTTGCATGAGCCTCCTGGTGGCTAGGCAAGAGAGGATGGAGAGCGGTTTTGCAAAGGGCTGCACGCACCCTTGGTCAGTAGTCATCCGTGGGGTGACAGTAATAGGTTTGTGGAAGAAGGAGAATCATTCAGAGATTAAAATGCTTTATGTTTTGTTTTCAGTTTATTGAAAGACTCCTAACCATTTTAACATTACTAAAACATCAACAGCGCACAGTGCATACAATCTGTCCTGTGCTGTTAAGCAAGCCAGACAATAAGGCAGACTTTGAGATTGGGGATCAGATTGTAAGATAAATTTCATTGTTTATTTTTATCAAGAATAACATCCTGTTTCAGTTTCCAGTCGTGATTAAAAAGATTTGGAAAAGGATGTAGCTGTCCATAACCATTCTCTCTCTCTCGTTTCTCTCTCTCATGCGAATTGCAATTAAAATGATCCTGCACTTTGTGTGGGTCTGAAGTACAATTTAAACCTCTGGCGGGCTGCAACCACTGTATTGGCGGCTGGACGACGCAGGTGCTGAGATAATGGGAGCAGCTGTAGGTCAGACCTAGGGGGATTAGCAGAGCTAAGCTTGGTCTGGTACTCAGAGCAAGAGCCGCCTTATGGGCTGAGACTGGAAGGGCACTGATGTGCTGATCTGCTCTTCCCTCATGCCAGCCAGACCTTGTTGGTTGAATATTCCCGGGGCTACCCTCTCTGCATGGATCAGTATTCCTGCCTCTTCTCCTCATGCCGACTTCCAGGGCCCAAGCACGATTCTGTCTTGCTGCCTCCTCCTGGCCGGAGACCCCCCACCTACATCACTGTAGTACGCAATTTCCAGGTAATTATTCCTCCAAAATGGTCCAAGGGAACCGAAAGGGTTTGCACATCCCAGTCATGAATAGTCTAAAAGGTATCCACTGTGCAGAATGAAGAGAGGCAGGCAAAAAGCTCCGTGTATATTCAGAAGGGTAGGTGCAAAGACCCTGAAGAGTTGTGTCATGTTGCACTGCACAACTCTGGCGCGCCCACAACTGGAGTACTGCATCCAGTTCTGGTCTCCACATTGTAGGAGAGACATAGCTAGGTTAGAATCTGTTCAGCGCAGGGTCACAAGGATGGTAGCCAGGATGGGAGGGATGACATGAGGAGAGATGGCGGGAACTGGGTCTTTACAGCCTGGAGAAGAGGAGACTTCGAGGGGATCTTTTAGCAACTTCTGGGCATGAGAGGGGATGTCATGTGGAGGGGGACTGTGACTTTGTCTTTGCTGCAGTGGGAGGCAGAACTCATTCCAGTGGGGCAAAGCTCAAGGAATCCAGGCTTCAGGCTGGATGTCAGGACGTACGTCCTGATGGTTTAGGACCCCTAGGATGTGGAATGGGCTTCCAAGGGAGGCGGTGGAGGCCCCATCAGTGAGGCTGTTCAAGGCAAGATTGGACAGTCACATGTTGCGGATTACATGAGCAGAGCTGGCTGGAGTCGGGGGTCAGACTAGATGGCCCAGGAGTCCCTTTCTATGTTTCTATGTATTTTAGCCTAGTTTTCCCATATTGTGACATATGAATGATATGAACATGTGGCTTCTAGGCATTGTCTGGGCTCCATAGGATAGTTCAAGATTTCCAGGTCCATCTTCAGAAATGGCACTCCAACCTCAGAGATGCAAGTCAGAGCTCGCACCCCGTCCCAGCTCATGTTGAAAGACCTATGTTGACTGCTCTCTGAGGTCAGGGAAGCAACTTTGGAGAGGGGCTAAAGGGGGCTTTGAACAGCCAGGATATGAGGTATCGTAGAGCTGTTTCAGCCTCGTTCCCTTCTCCTCCAAAACACCCTTGCTGAGTGGCTGAAGACGGCCGCCGGAGTAAATGCAGAGCTAGAGTAGCAGCATGGCCAAGATCCCCTCCGCCTCGCCTCCTCCTCTCTACTGGATGCCCATGAGCCTCTGGGTTCAGGGGCTTACCAGCATCCTGATAGGACTGCATCCACTGAAGGTTTCACACGAGGCTGTCTAAACGCCACGTGCTGGACTCCCATGAAAAGGAGAAAAGGGACCTTCCTCCACGGACTCCCAGCATCCACATTTTAATAAGGATGAAGCAACCGTGTAGTTTGTGAGTGATTCAAACCTGTGCAAGCTTGGAAAAGAGGCTTGCAACTCCCAGCATGTTGGGGAAGCCTCTTAAACTTAATAGGACTGTGCCTTAAATGTGTTACATAAAAAAGGACTCGCCTCTCTCTGGTGTTGTTTTGATTATTTCAGTGGGTGTTTTATTGCTGCTGTAAAATCTCCTGTCTGCTATTCTGTTGGGTTTTGTGGATTCTGTTTTTTACGGTCTTTATGGGGCAGGGAGTTGGTAATTGTGAACCACCTTGTAATTTTATAAGGAAAGGCAGAGTATGGAAGTTTTAAATATTAAAAAAAGCTGCAGTTTGGTCCTTAGGCTCTCCAAAGCCAGACGTGCCTAATCACGCCTGATCTTGGAAGCTAAGCATAATCAGGCCTGGTTAGAATCTGGATGGGAGACTTGAGTCCGGCACTGGGCAAGGGGTTGGACCCTGTGGCCTTCTTGGCCCCTTCCAACTGGCTGATTCTGTGATTCACCAATTAAAGGATCTGAAGGAGTTGGGCTAGCAGAACGTCTGTGTCTGACACCCTAGAGAGCTGGAGCCATTCAGAGCAGACCCGGGATAAACAGACCGCTGTGACCTGGGGCAAGGGAGCCTCATGTGCTCCTAGGATCTGGGGGGTTTTACAGGATTCTCTGCCTCTGACCATGGAGGCAGTGTGCTGGGGAGTATGGGTAGAGCTGTTTTCCTCATGCTGCATTTGTGCAGGCATCTGGTCAGCCACTGCAGCAAGAAAACAGGAATATAAGGGGAAAAAACCCTTGGTCTGATCCTGCAGGGTCTGCGTATTATCTTCTTATGACTCTTGTGCCTCTTGAGAGAGGACCTTCTCCCTTACTAACTGGCCTTGCCACTGAGTTCATCTGAGGGCAGGCTGCCCGTGAGTCCACACAGACCTGACTGGAGTCCCCCTAGAGAAGGGCCTTCCATGTGGTGGCCCCTTTTCTTTGGAGCGCCGTGCCCATGGCAGTAAGGCAGGCATCAGTCTTCCTAGCGCTGCCTGAAAACATCTTCATTTCAGGAGGCTTTCCTTGGTTGACCAGCTCCTTTCTTGACATCCTGTTTTAATTGTTTTGATCTGGTTAATTTTCCATCAGCGATTTCAGCACCTGGCCATGTAGACCCTGAAATAAATAATCGACTGGCCCATGGGGGCGGGGGTTGGATCTCTGGGGTATTTGAGGGCTTTAGGCAGCGGGTGGCAGCCTGTCCTGTGGCACCAGGATCCCTGAAGGAGCGCCTTCTCCCCTATGTGCCCTCCCACCCCTTGAGATCTGAGGCGGAGGCCCTGCTCCGGGAGCCCTCCTTGAAGGAGATCAGGAGGGAGAGTACCCAGAGGAGGGCCTTCTCTGTGGTGGCACCCTGACTATGGAATACGCTCCCTGGAGAGGTTCGCCTGGTGCCAACAGTATATTCTTTTCAGCGTCAGACAAACCCCCCCCATTTTAATGTTTAATTGATTTTAACTAGGTTCTTAGTATATCAATTGTTGGATGCTGTGGTGTTGGTTTTATTCTACTTATTTTTTGTAAGCTGTCCCAAGATGCTTGTAGTGGACAGGATCGAAAAGCTATCAATCAATCAGTCAGTCAGTCAGTCAATCTCGTGGCCCTCCGCATGCAGGTGGTCCTGGGCAAGGGTGCTGGGTAGGAAGGAAAAGTGGGCAGATGAAGCAAATGGGGAGAGCAGAAAGGGAGAGGCAGCGAGATGAGCAAGAGAGAAGAGGAGCAACCCGCCCGGCTGCTCCTCTCTCCTTCCGCCTCCCTCCCTGCTCAGCTCCGCATCCGATTCCTCCAAGGGACTCTGGCCCTGGACAGAAAAAAGGTGGTCCAACCTTTTAAATCTTCCTTAGGTTCCAATCAGTGCCTTGAATCAGTGCCTCCAGAAGGGAACTAACTGTTCCTTGTCACAAATGACTTGCTCTCTTGTAAGCCATCCAGAGACTTTTTAAAGTAATGGACGGCATAGAAATTTTTTAAATAAATAAATAAAAAAAATGAAGACCGGCCTCTCTGTGCCTTTCGTTCCTCCCCCAGTTCTTCCAGCTCGAGGTGTACAACAGCGACGGGACACCGCTCACCGTGGATCAGCTGCACGGGCAGCTCCAGCGGATCCGGGCCCAGTCCACGAAGACCAATAAGGAGCCCTTGGGGGTGCTGACCAGTGACCACCGGCATACATGGGGACAGGCATATACCACTCTCATGAGAGGTAGGGGTGTGTGGGGCGGGGGGGGAGCAATGTGCTCTTATTGCAGTTTTCTTCCTTGCTCAGCCGCTGCCTGAAGCCAACACACTTAACCATGGTTTGCTTTAAATATCATTCAGTGTTGCATCTGAATACCTAAAGCAAGAGTGGGGAGTCTTTTTCTTTCTTTTTTTGGCCTTTGAGAAGGATTCCAATTTGGGAAGAGTCATGGGGGGGCTGTATTCTAGCAGAGGGTGGGGCTAAAGACATGGGAAAGGGCCTGTGGCTGAGAAAGCAATCTGGACAGGCCAAGAATGTAATTCTTTCCCATCTGGAGGGTGTCCCACCAAGCACCTAGAACAGTGTCAAATCCTGTGCTAGAACCCTTGACTTAAACCCTGACTTAACCCCAGCTCTATTCCAGATCAGGAAACCATGGTTTGTGTTAACTCCGATTAAATGTTGCTGAGGAAACCATGGGCAAAGCAGTTGGTCAGCCTTTTCAGCATCCTTGCTTGTAAAGTGATAAGCGGGCCTTTGTGGTTTCTTTTCATGCACACTATTTCTGAAGATGTGGGGCTGATTTACGCATGCAAGAAAATGAGGGAGCAGAATAGGCGGAAGGGCTTCAACTGCAGATGGAGGCATATCCCACATTTTGGAGTGATCCTTACATTAAAACCTCCTTGCCCCGGAAAATCTGCAAAGCGGACAAAGGGCTCAGCTCAAGGCCTTGTCCTTAAGGTGTGTGCTTCCTGCATGCAGAACAAGCAACTGCCTGCTTTCCATGCAGGGTAGTGTTCCATCCCTTCCTTAGTATGAAGTGGTACAGTCCTTTCCTCCATGTGATTCTGCTGCCTATGGAGCCCTTGCCTCACTCAGGGTTTCCCTGTCTGTTCTGTATCTCAGCCATGGTGAAGAATTCAGGCCTGCTTTAGGCCAGTGTGGAGAGCAACCCTCCACCACAGGGGTGCCGAACCTGAGGGCCAAATTTATATTTCAGAAGCTCTCAGGGGCCTCATTCTGGTCATGGGCTTGCTTGAAAGCAGAGGAGAAGGGGCCAAAAATACTGGCATATTTTAGTGCAATGGCTCTGCTCGTCAGTAACTCAGCCCTAGGAGAGGCATTTAAACGTGCTAGAATAAGGAAAAGCTATACAGAAGTCAGAAAAGCACCAAACAATTCATAACTGGGGAAACGGGGAAGTTCTGGGAGAAGGAAGTTAAGAATCTTGGAGATGCTGTGGACATTCTTGGATCCAGCCCTGATCCTTTGCTGTGCAGCATCCTCCGTGGAGCGTCTTCAGATGCCTTCTCTGCTTAGAAGATGGTTAATTCTCTGTCTGCGGCTCCACAGCATTGTGACCTTGTGTTTCTCTCCCTGCCCCGTCTGCCCGGCCTTCCTGCTCCACCTCCAGACAAGCTGAACTGCGAATCGGCACGTGCCATCCAGCGTAGCCTTTTCACCGTCTGCCTGGACTCTCCCGTCCTGAAGGTGTCGGACGCACGCGCCACGAGCCGCCTGGCGGCCCAGATGCTGCATGGGGGAGGAAGCCACTCCAACAGCGGGAATCGCTGGTTTGACAAGACGCTGCAGGTGAGAGTACGATCAGGGAGAGAACAGGGTGAAGGGGGCATGATCCCTGTGCTCACACCTCGAGGCGCTTACCGTGTCCGTCCGTCCTCCCTCCCTCCCTCCCTCCCTCCCTCCCTCCCTCCCTCTCTCTCTCTCTCTCTCTCTCTCTCTCTCTCGAAAACTTTTCTATACCGTCCCATAGTTAAAAGTCTCAAGACGGTTTACAGCAGATTAGTCAAAAAACAAAACAGAAACAAGAATAACAACAATTGCTCAGCATCTAATGATTAAAATGTAAACCCTCCACTGAAACAAACTAACAATTAAAATACTGGGAGAATAAAAAGGTTTTCACCTGATGCCGAAAAGGTAGAAGCGCTGGCGCCAGGTGGACCTCTCTGGGGAGCGTGTTCCACAATCGGGGCACCAGCGCAGAGAAGGCCCTCCTCCGGGTACTCACCCTCCTAATATCCTTCACGGAGGGTTTCCGGAGAAGGGCCTCTGCCTCAGATCTCAAGGGGTGGCAGGGCACATAGGGGAGAAGGCGCTCCTTCCGGTATCCCAGTCCCAAGCCATTTAGGGCTTTATAGATCATCACCAGCACCTTAAATTGGGCCCGGACTTCAAGCGGTAGCCTGTGTAGACAATAGAGGACCGGCGTGAACACCTGCCGGGCCCCGTTAGTATCCTGGCAGCTCTGCTCTGGACCCATTGGAATATCCGGACCATCTTCAAGGGCAACCCCATGCAGAGCACGTCACAGTAATCCTCTGTGTGGAAGTCACCTCCCAAGGAAAGTGCTCCCACCCCAACTATTATAACTTTTCTTCATGGGGAAGTCCTCCAGTTCCTTGATCATTTTCCTTGCCCTTTTCTGCCCTTTTTCCAACTCTGCCATATCCTTTTTAGCTGTGGTGTCCAGAACGATATACAGAATTCTAAATGGGCAGTAGGAGATCAGCATTTTTCCTTTCAGTTCCTTTCCTAATTCCTTGCCTAATATTATGTAGTCCAAAAACACCATCTGTGCACAACAGGAAGGAATCTGCAAGCTTGCAGGCCGGTGGGGGGGGGGGGACCAGTGGTTTGCAAAAGTACAAAAACCTGAAGAAAAAGATTGGGGTGGGGGGGCACCTGTGGCTGGATGCCTGAGGCAGGAGCACTCCCCACTGCAACATTTTGTTGCAGCTCAAACCTGCCAATCACAGTTAATTAGAAGTATAAAAACCTGCTGTTACTTGTTGGACCTATTTCCGTCCTGCACGAAGGAGCCAGTTGTCTGCCTAATGGAATTTGCTGCAGCTTCCACAACTCTTTTGTTGGCAAATAGAAGGCCAGACAGGATACTGCATGAGGCTGGATTTAGCTCGAGGCCTCCGGTTGCTAAAACTTCCTTTTGTTCTAACTTCTTGATGTTTGGTGAACTTGCCTAGATCTTTTTGTGGGCTGAATTAATTTGTGGGGCTTTTGTTTCCCCAGAACAGTGGACACAAAAATCTGAGGAACGTCTTCTTTTCTGCCCTCCTCTTTTCTATTTCTTCTCTCTTCCCTTCCATTCTTTTTGTTGTTGGTTTTTTGAATTGCATTTTACAGTTTAGGCATCAAGGGGTGGGAATACTGGGAGGGTGATCATGTAATGGGAAGAAGGTTGCAGTTCTATGAGGAAGGGCAAAATACATTTATTATTCTTACCATTATCATAAGGAATATCAGTATTACTGCTATTAACATGATAAACAACAGCAACTATAATAGCAACATTTCTATTGTACTTCCAACTGTTCAAAGTGCTTCACATGCATTTTCGAGTTGCAATCCTTATGAAAGCCATGGAAGATAAGCTGGCATTGTTATCCTACCGTGTTGCAGATGGAGAAACTGAGGCTGAGTAGATGACCACTGAGTCTGCTAATGGGAGAGGAGAGAGTTGAGCCAGGGCTTTCTAATATATAACTCAGTCTTTCAGTCGCTATTGTGCATCGGCTTTCATTATAGGCTGGCCATTTGTGAATGCATCTTACTTTATTGTGCTGTTTATACTTTAAATCCAAAAAAGTTGAATAATGAAAATACATATCCATGTATTTGAGTTGGCATTGTGTCACCTTTAGGTAGAAATATGCATTTAATGTTAAAGGCAAAAACTCTCATAAAGCTATTCTCTTTCCATCCCCATCTCTCTTCTTCCTTTCCCTCATGCACTTCCAGCCCTTGTTTTATGGCTCTGTTTGCTTTTACTGCAATTCTTCATCATGTGTATTTTAATGCATTGTATACTGCTCTGTGCTCTCTCGTTCTCCCTCTCTCTAACATTATAAGGAGCACCTTATACATTTATAATACATAAATGCTTGTCCTTTCTCCTGACTCACAGTTCATAGTGGGAGAGGATGGTTCCTGTGGGGTGCTTTACGAGCAGGCCGTTGCTGAGGGGCCCCCAATTGCCACGATCATAGACCACGTGCTTGACTACTGGTAAGAGGAAAGGGGTGGGGGGTGTCTGGGTCGGACTTCCTACCGGCCCCTGAGGGGCTGCCTTCGGCCCAGAGGACCTGAGGTCCTGCGCCCGTGCTCTGCAGCCTTATGTGATTTAGCTGCCCCTTAATTACCTTTATGTCATTTGTTCAATGTGCACCCTGCCTTTTTCCTGCGGGGAACCCAAGGAGGCCTACAGAACCCCCCTCCATGTTATTCTCACAATCACCTGTAAGGCAGGCTAGGCGGAGAGGCAGTGGCTGGCCCAAAGCGACCCAGGGAGCTTCACAGCCAAATGGGGACTAGAACCCGGGTCTCCCAAGTCCCAGTCCAGCCCCCCCCCCCCCGCACTCCCCTGCCACACCACCGCTCACCAGCACTTCAGCCACCTTTCTGTACCCGGCTCCAGGTGTCACGAGTGATGCACAATGCCTCGTTCCTTCCCTTCCTCTTAAGTATATATGTATTTGGGTAGATTTGTAATTTTTAATCTGTGATACGAATACAAGTACATATATTACTTGTCAGCTCTTCAAGAATCTTTTTTTAGAAATTCAACCTATGCTTATTTTTATTGTGACTTGTCAACAAAAGAAAAAAAACATACACATACATAGATTTGTATATATCCATATCAATGCATGTGAAATCAATCATTCAAAAGAAAACATACACATACATAGATTTGTATATATCCATATCAATACGTGTGTAATGCATATATATGAAAATACAAGTTTCTAGCAATTACATATAAGCTTCAACAAAAACAGGGCATGTAACCAAATTAGTATATGCTTGAAGGTGGCATCTACATGTCACCTATCATAAATATGAAAAGTGTTATGAAGCGCTCATTCCATAGTATTAAAGAAGTTGAACATTTATCCTTCCACTTCTGCTATTAAAAAGGCATGGAGAATCCATTTATGCTGACCATTTGCTAGCTAATATGAAAAGGCCATGTACATCAGTGAATATTAGAGGCTGTTGTAGAACAGAGTGTATCTGTATAATAACCTCCTTCTAAAAAGAGGCAGTGATTGGGCACTGACAAAACATCTTTAGAAAACATATTAAAGCATTGCCTTGCCAGCAATTAACTGACGATCTGTGTTAAAGAGCCGTTGTGAGACCTATTAATTCTTTGAGTTAACCTGCTTCATGGCGTTACTGGAAAAGGTCGGGAGGTGCTCAGCAGGACAAGGAGCAGCTGCAAGGTTGGGGCTCCAGCAGGGCCATCTTAACAACATGATGGGCCCCTGGCAAAGCAGTGTACTGGGGTCCCTTCGACAACTGCAACTATTGTTAATTTTGGAGGTGTTCCAATTTTCCAAGGGTTAACATACACAGTTTAGTATGGGGCCCACGGGCAAGTGCCCATCAGGCCCGTGCGTTGACGGCCCTGGGCTCCAGAGGTTGGCCAGCTGTGGGAGCCCAGCTGGAGCAATTGCCTGTGGCTGGTGCCAGATAATGCTAGTGGTGGGTCTGGATTGAAGCAGTGGAGGGCAGAGAAAAGAAGGGGGCTGCCGTTTTTCTTTTTCGGTAGAAGTGGGTCTTTCCTATGTTGCTGACCTCAGCTGCTGTTTCTTTCAAGTACATTTCAAAGCACCTCTTTTTCCTCCTGATTCCTGGATTCCAGCAAAGATCCTGTCCCAGTCCGTGCTCCACTCATTCCTCTACAGTTGCCCAAAAAACTCTACTTCTGCATCACTCCAGAAATCAAACGTGACATCGAGCACGCCAAGCAAAACCTGAACATGTGAGTGTGCCGGGCTTGTATTTCAGGGCGAGTGGTGATAAAGGAGGGGCTTTCTCAGACAAGTTGGGGGTCCCGCTGCAGTTTCGTTATCTGGCATCCCTCAATTTGAAAAACAGGTCCACCTTACGCCCTGCACCGGGGTTTCTTTAAAAGGTCCCTGCTGCAACTCAGAGCAAGGAATGTTCTTTTCAATCCAGAGGAAGCAGGGAAGAATTAGCCAGCCCTCCAGGCCAGAGAGAAATGGCAAAGTGAAGGAGGCCTCTTTGCCATAGAGTAAGAATTCAGAATATTCTTCGCAGTAAGCTAACACCCTCCAGATGTGCTAGACTACACCACCCATCCTCCCCAGGCAGCAAGACCATTGCATGGGGAACACTAGACATGCAATTGGATGTTTTTCAGGATGGATCAATATGACGCTAAGTAGGACTGAGGGAGACAATGTCTTTTGGCACTATTTCTCCTTGTATTTGATGTGAATGGCAAACACGGACCACTTAAGACCGTACAGAAGTTGCATCAGGCATGCCAGACAGTCGAGTTCAGGATCCCTGGTATGATGCAATGTTAAAAAAGATAATTAAGGGCTGCTTAAGTGCTTCAAGAGTATAATTCACAGGACCAGGAATTCCACAAGTGCACAGCTACCATTAAAACGGACTTTTTCCTAGTATCTGCCAAACTGATCAGCTATAATTGCAGGCCGAGACCAAGGCCTCCGAGACTGATCTTAGGAATCCGTCCTTGCCCAAAGTTTTGTAGGTGCCTGAGGGGGCCCTAAGGTTGGTGCAGGCGGCCCTTCAGACCACCTGATCCCAGACTCTTTGGGATTCAAAGGTTAGCACCCGCACTTAAAGCTGAGACCAGAAAAGAATGGGAAACCAATGCGAAGTGGCTGTGACAAGATCAAAGCACTTGGCTACCTCTCCGAGCAATGGCAGCTGATGTTTGCACCAGCTGAGGCTTCTGCTGTGGTTCACTGCAGCTTCTAAGCTAACCTTGGCAGGAGGAGGTGGGGAAAACAAGGTACCCGAAGTCTGGCATAGCGAGGAGGTGGAGCGGGAGGTGTGCAGGCTGCAGCCGAGGTGCACTGGCTGACTCATCTCTCTGGTCTTTTCTCTACCAGCCTCATCACCGACCTGGACATCAACTGTTTCACTTACCGCAGGTTTGGCAAGGAACTGCTCAAAGGCCAGAAGCTGAGCCCAGACTCTGTCCTGCAGGTGGCGCTGCAGTTAGCCTATTACAGGTGAGCGCCTGTCCAGCCAGAGGATGCTTGGAGGGACCGGGCGGGTTGGATGCCTCCACCTTTTTAAAAGGAGAGGCGCCATCAGCCTAGCTAGCAGGGGCGAGCAACTTCTGGGCCTCCACATATCTTGGCTGTGGCTGATGGGAGTTGTAGGCCAAAACATCTGGAGGGCCACACGTGGCCTACCCCTAAGCTAAGACAAAATGAAAGGTCATGCTTTTGTCTTTGTCACATTATTTACCTAGGGTGTATTTATTACCTGAGGGAGCGCCTCTCTCCGTCCATGCCTTCCCGCCCACTTAGATCATCTTCTGACGTCCTCTTCTGAGTATCCCCCATGAGATTAGCTGGGGAAGGGCTGGGGGGCGGCATTCTCTGCTGTGGCACCTGGGCTTGGGAATTCGCTCTCCAGGGACACACAGCTGGCACCGACCCTGCTTTCTTTTAGGCACCAGACAAAAGCTTTCTTGCTCTGATGGGCATTTGACTAATTTCATTTGTATTTTGTTGTTGGTTTATTTAATTGATTGGCTTTATTTTATTTGATTGTATTTATATGGTTGCATTTATATTGTATTTTAATTTTACTATGTTTTATGGTTTGTTTGCTATTGTTATTTATTTTTTGCTGTATTTTATATATATTTATATTGCACTGTGCGCTGCCCAGATAGCCTTTGGCTATGGGGCAGCATACAAATGCGATAAATGAATACAATAAATAAAATATTGTAATATGCTAGCCTAGCATTTTGTATGCTAAGCCAAAGAACCGTCCAGAGAACGCTCAGGTTATGGGACACCGTAGAAGTATAATGAAATAAATAATAAATAAAGTTATATTTCTCTGTGCTGTGAGGCACAGGAGGATGGTGCGAGTGCATTAGACTGTCTGTTGTACTTTCCTCAGAGCACATGGGGAACTGGGTCCCACCACCGAGTCGGCCTCTCTCCGTCGCTTCCACCGTGGCCGGACGGAGACTATCCGCTCCGCTACCTCTGCCGCGCTGGCCTTCGTCCAGAGTACGGAGGATGACAACTGCCAGGTATTCCTCTCTTGCACAGTCCCGCCTCTAATGAGAACCGAAAGCGTAGCCCCAGGGAGTGAGCTGCAGTAGCCATTGATGCAATGAGCATTAACTGGCCGTTCACTGGGGAGGCCTCTCGCTGTGCAGGCCGGCCCTACCATTGGGCAGAGTCAGAGGTCCTCCTCAGACAGTCAACCCTAGGAGGGAGCAAGGTGCTGTCCTCATCTGCGGTGTGAGATGCTCTTCTGCCCCGGCAGTAAGGCAAAGGTGGGGAACCTCAGACCGGGAACCTAAATGCAGATCCCAGTACTACTCTCCAGGGTTCCCTGCTGGCCACCACCATTCTCCCAATCCCCAGGCTTCGGTGCAGCCCACTCCAGAGGGTTGAAATTCCACTCCTGGACTTAGTGACTGACAATAAAGGCTACCATGTTGTAGTAGTTTGGCTGTAGATCATGGGCCTTGGGCAGCCCGCAAGAGTTTTTACACGCTGGAATTCAGCCTTTGGACTGAAAGGTGTTCATTAACCCCATAATAAAGTCCCTTTGGTGGTCCTTGGCCTTGCGGGTGGTTGCTGTTGTTTGTGATACTATATTTTTCCCGTGTGAGGAAGCCGAGTGGCTTACGCAGACGTCCTCCATTCTGTCCTCACTACAACAGCCCGGTGAGGTTGGTTAGGCTGAGAGTGAATGACCAGCCCAAAGGCGCCCAGTGAGCTTCATGGCCTAGTCAGAACTAGAACCCGGATCTCCTGGGTCCCCCGTCCAGCAGTCTGGCCACCCCACCGCACTGGCTCCCTACCCTTTCCTCAGCTTCTCTTCTTTGGGGCCTGAACACGAGGAGTGGCCATGGTCACCCTTAAGACACCTCTGTGCATTTCAACCACAGGCCACTGCCGGGATTTTTACATGTGTGTCTTGCAGGCCGCCATGCCTGGTAAACCCCCCACTCCCATCCATGACCCCGTTTCCTTCCTCTCTCTGCACCAGGCCCCGGAAAGACTGAGTTTGCTGAAGGAGGCGATCGAGGTCCACAGCACCCTCACAGAGCAGGTGAGCATCTCCTCACGAGAGGCCCTCCAGGTGTGTGAGGGGAGGCCTCGGTCTGTGGAAGGACCGGTGGTCGAGGGCCTTGATGGGTTGCAGCCGCTTTCCCCCCACCTTTTCCTTACTTGCACCGTGGCAGCCGATGCCTGTGGGAAGTCAGTCGGGAATTCTGTCAGAACACAAAGTGGGACCAGGGATTCGTGCCTTCCTTAGAAACACGAGCTGCTCAGGGTAGCCTTGAGGCAAGAGATGAAACCAGGGAGGCCTCCAGCAAAGCAGAGATGCAACTACCGTTCGAGGGACTTCAGCTGCCCACATGCTGGCTAGATAAAAGCACGTGGCAGCCCTGGCAGGTTGGATTTCTCAGTGTCACAAACAGCTGGTGATCCTGGCGTCAGGGTGTGACTTGCTCAGGAAGGGCCCCTTGAGGGGGCCGTGCAACCTGGAGCCGGCATCAGTGCCTGGGTGTGAGTGGGGAGGGGGAAGCCAAGGGGAGAGCTTCGTTTTAAAAGGGCAAATGAAGCAACTGTAGGGGGAGATTCAGACAAAGACACGCGTTCCAAACCTTTTCCCTGTGCCATTTGTTTGACCAAAATCACACCACCCTCCCCACAGAAGATCCGATAACAGCCCCCCTGCTATCGAATCTCTTTAGACATGTGCAAACCTCATGGAGTGGGTGGGGGTTCCTGCCCCGGGCACCCACCAACCTGCTAAGATGGCGGCTGCAAGAGGGCACCCCAGGCAGGCCCAGAATCCCCTTTTGTTGCAGGCTCTGGATGGGCAAGGCATCGACCGCCATTTGCTGGGGCTCAAACTGGAGGCGATTGCCGACGGATTCCGTGTGCCCAAGCTCTTTATGGACACTTCGTTTGCTGTGGCTTCTCACTGGAAACTCTCTACGGGACAGGTAGTGGCTGCCAGATCCTAAATTTGATCTCTTGGCTTGCTTGGTCGGATTGATCACAGGATAATGTTCCATCCCCCTCTGAATTCCACATTAGAATTTATTTTCCCTAGATAGTCAAGTGCCGTTTCCTCTCTGATTGCCAAGGTCTTCCGGAAAGATCTTGTTCCATCTGGAAGCTTGCGGACCTCGGCCTAAGCAGTGTGGGCACTGTGCGTATGGAGCGCTGTGGCTGATTTATTACAATTAGGATTATAATTTCCCTCATCTTTTCTATACCACTCCATAGCCAAAGTTCGCTAACTGATAGTTACCCTAAACCAGGCTGGGCTGGGCGAGCATGTGACCGGCTGAAGGTTGCCCACTGAACTTCATAGCTGTGTAAGAATTTGAACCTGCAGTCCAGTCCAGCCATCTCAACATTGGATGAAGGCTTTTTGTGTCAAGTAAAAACAGAATTCACCTGATCGATGAATCTTTGTTGAGATGCATCCATTAGTGAAACCATGTGACGCTTACAGTTCTTCACATTTTGTGGTATATTGCTATTTTCAGGGTTAGGGCCGTGGTTCATCACTGCGATCTTGGGGAAAATCAGCCCCCCGCATCTATTTTCCAGAGGGCCCAGGCGAATGGTCCGCTGACCCCGCGTCCTTTCTCCCCCAGGTCACTGCCCGCACGGATTGCGTGATGTGCTACGGGCCACTGGTGCCCAACGGCTACGCCGTGTGCTACAACCCTCTGCCTGCGCACACCAACTTCGCCATCACCGCCTTCAATTGCTGCGAGGAGACCAACGCAGAGCACCTGGCCAGGGGCCTCCAGCAGGCGCTGGATGACGTGGGGGCCTTGCTGGGCATCTCTGGCAGCGAAAGCCACGACAGACAGTCCTGAGGCACACGCCACGGCTCTGTTTCCACAGAGGAGTCTCTCACCTCTTCCCAGCACTCCTTTGCCCGTCACTCTGTGGGCCTCGGGGCACAGATGGGCACCCTGCCTGACTTTGTGCCGAAGCTTTGTGACCCACCAGTCCTCCAGTGATCCTTCTTTCCCATGATGCTCTTTGTGTCCTTCAGAAGGGACCAATGGGAAGGCAGCCACTCTTGGGTTTTGTTTTGTTCTGTTTTTTTTACCGTCTTAATTCAAAGCCAAATCTAATTTATTTCTAGACTAAAGAAATAAAGATTCTTTCAGAAAAGAGGCTTGGCTTCCATAGTTTGTGGTAAACAAAACACAACATGGCAAAGACATATCTAGCGTTGGGATCCATGGATGGTATTGGATTCTGAGTCTATGGACGGGTCAGCTCCATTCCCTCAGCGTCTGTTTCCTCATCTGTAAGATGGAGGCACGATACTCCACCACGCAGGATTGGTAGGAGGGCCAGTGAGATCACAGGGCATTAGCCCATACCCCTGGGTAAGCTTTGCTTCTCCAAGTCAGGGTTGGGGAACCTGCCCCCCCCCCCCAAGACTGCTGGGTCATGACTCAGTCATCCCGTGTGGGAGCCCATGTGGCACAACTCAGTCTGAATGGGACTTGGGTGATCCAGATTCTCGTTGCTGCTCACTGAATCACTTTGGGGGAGTCGCCAACTCAACCTAGCCTACCTCGTAAGGTTGTTGTGAAGTGAGACTAGAGGGGGGAGATTATGGAAGCTGTCTTGGATTCCTTACAGGAAAAAGGGAGTGTCAATAAAATAAAACCCACTGTTTAGCATACTGCCTGAGGCTGAAGAGAGTTTTAAGTCCAAGAACATTTCAGGCCTGATCAAAAGAAACACAACTCATGCTGGAAAACACTTCCTTTGTCCAGCTTGTGAGAGAGGCCTGATCAGGACTAAGGGAAGCTGCTGCATTGATCAGAGAAGCAGTGTGAGCTCTGGAGCGGCACAGAACTCACGGTGAGGTACGTAATTCACAGAGGCTGTAATTCTGTGAGGATCCCAGACAAGGCAAGAGGAATGTGCAGACAAAGGTCACCTGTGCGGCTCCTTCCTGGCAAAGCACTGACAGGGCTGCTTTCAGCGGCCTTCAATGTGGACGCTTTGGAGCGAGAAGGAAAGAGACTGAAGCACAGACCTCTTGGCAGGACCTGTCTCCTCCCCACCTCCTAGAACACCCCCATAGCCCCTTTCCCAGGTTGCTGTTACAACCTTGGAGAAGCAGCCCACCGTGAGTTGGGGAGGGGCGTCTGAGTGTGGATTTGCAGCGATGAGGCTGGGGCGATTTTCCGACCTTGTAGTTGGAAGCCTGAAAAGCCGGACGGCTGCCTCGTGCTCTCCAGTGGCCACAGGATGTCACTGCCCTGGGACGTTGATGGGTTGCACAGCACCAGGAGAAGATCCATTGTATTCCTCGGGCCCTGGGCTGTGGCCCTGGGCTCAAATGGTGGTAGATAGTCATGGGTTCGAATGTGGACCTTACGGAGCAAAACTGAACCAGGGACAAGAACCCAAGACTCGAAGGCATAAAGGAAAATCTGTTAAGACTGTCGAGCAGCATTGTAGAAGTACAATGTGGTTAAAAGGAGGAGGAGGAGACAATGCAAAGAGAATAATAGCATTGAGGGACAAAGAACTAAAAGCAATATGATGAATTACCACATTGCCTTCTAATAATTCCTCCATCCCTCCTGATTTCAGAACAGCCTAGGTTTCCTAGCCCTTCTACAAACAGCAGTTTGAAGGTACCCAGTGTTGTGGTCTACAGTTCCAAGGACTTGCTTTGTTCTCCAACAGAACAAAACAAACATTAAAATTTATGTTCATTTGGACACGAGGTGGGGGGGCATTGGGACTTTTTAACCTTTCAGATATGTTCAGAAGTTCTCAGGAGAAAATGTAAAATTAGTGGGGAATCATCGGAATGGCAGCCAGTGACAAGCAGGGTCCCTCAGGGCTCTGTCCTGGGGCCGATCCTGTTTAATCTTTTCATAAATGACATGGAAGAAGGGGTGAACAGTCTGCTGATCAAATTCGCAGACGATACTAAAACTGGAGCAGTGGCCACAACTGAGGAGCAGGTACTCCAGATCCAAAAGGATCTGGACAGACTATGGAAGTGGGCAGGAGACAACAGGATGGTGTTCAATGTGGATAAGTGCAAGGTCTTGCACTTGGGGCATAGGAATAGCTGTCATAAGTACAGGTTAGGTGATAAGTGGCTGGAGAGCAGCACTTGTGAAAGGGACCTCGGGGTGCTGGTCAACTGCAGGCTAAACATGAGTCAGCAGTGTGATGCGGTGGTCAAGAGGGCGAACGCCACCCTTGGTTGCATAGCCAGATCGAGTGGCTTCTAGGTCGAGAGAGGTATTACTGCCACTCTATAAGACTCTGAAGTGCCCACAATTGGAGTATTGTGCTCAGTTTAGGGCCCCTCATTATAGAAAGGATATAGCCAGGTTAGAGTCAGTGCAGCGTAGGGCCACAAGGTTGGTGGCCAGTTTGCAGGGGATGCCATATGAGGCGAGACTGAGGGAACCGGGTCTCTTCAGCCTGGAAAGGAGGAGACTCAGAGGGGATCTGTTGGCGACATACAGGTATGTGAGGGGATGTCACACGGAGGTGGGTAGAGACCTGTTCTCCCCTGCAGAGGAAGGCAGGACGCGCTCCAACAGAGCAAAGCTCAGGGAACCAAGGCTCGATTTAGATGCCAGGAAGCACTTCCTGACAGTTAGGACCCTGAGGGTGTGGAATGGGCTTCCACAAGAGGTCGTTGAGGCCCCATCGGTGAGGGTGTTCAAAGATAGGCTGGATATGCACGTGGTGGGCATGTCGTGAGCGGAGCCAGCTGGAGCCAGGGGTCAGACTAGATGGCTCGGGAGACCCCTTCTGACTCGTTCTGTTTCTATGTTTCTATGCTATGATGTGCTTATTATTTTTTTTCCATTTTATTTATCAGCTACATTTCTGCGCTTCCCTGCCCCTACCAAAGCTGTCTCCATAATTCACAAAATATGGTTGCAATACTGAGACATAAATATATGTTGTGCAAGCATCTTATCAAAGCCAATCTAGTTATGTTGAAGCTGCTTCATCTACTGGGCCACCTGTCAATATTTGTCAGACTTTATGAAGAACAGTGTTTGTAACAGAAACAGTGTTTTCCTTTCAGGTGCTTGGGTTTCTCACTGCAGTCAATTGCCTTGTTTCAACCAAAATCACAAGGTGTTTGCCCAGAGCTGGGCTTTTGGCTGTCATCAAGGCTTTTCTAGTAATTTGCAAAATTCAGTAATATCTTGAGTCTTGCATCTCTCTGTTAAAATCAGGCATGAAAGGGACCATAGCATTCCACTATAAATGGAAAGAAAAGGATCCCTCTTTACTGAGATATCAAATGGTAAGAATAACTATAATATACAATATCAATGTTGTACTGGGGTTAAAGCAGTCATCCAAAGCAAATTCTTAAGTCAGAAACACTCCATTAAAGAGGTGATTACAACAGTCTAAAACACTTTCCAGGGGGTACATGCAATGGTTGTTGCTGCAAAAAGAACAAAGGTTAGTGTAACACCGTAAAGACTAACGAAGACGGGATTCGCTCTTGTAGGCTGCCATCAGCTTTATTCCAAGTATACAATACTGTCCTAAATTAGTTTCAAATCAGCAGCAAGTCCTTTAAAACAGAGGTGCTAAATCCCATTTCAAAGCAGCTCTCAGGTGACTTTGGGGCCAAGGCAAAAGCAGGGGGGAAACATATCAGTCTATTTCGAAAGTAACTGCAGTCTTTTGCAATGAGAGAAAAAACTGCACGAAAGCTGGAAAAGCACCAAATGGTGGTTGTGGGGAAGAGGGGCCAGAGGAGGGGACTTGGCCATGTGAGGATCTCCATAAGGCCAGATTTGGACCCGGGCACCGCTGCTTCAGAAGGAAAAGGCAACGTGGGAAATAATGGGGTTTGCTTGTCTTCATGTGTTGCTGCTCATACAAAATCATCACCAGAGGTCCATCTTTGCATGCCTCCATCGTCTGATGGAGAAGGGGGGCTACAGGGCTGTTACCGACAGGAACAGTTCTGAACTAACATATGCTGCCATTTTGGTATGTTGGCCACACGTCCCTTTGCCTCTGGCCCTGCCCACCACCAAATGCAGCACGTACACCCCCGTAGTTTCTCTGAAGCTGAATCTGCCCTCGAATTAGACCCGGTTCGGCACACTTGGTCCTCAGCAAGGGGCAGGGGCCCTGCCGAGTTTCAGATGGGCTTTCCCGGCTGTGCGTGGAGATGCTGGGGTGGAAGCCAGGCTTTGGCGTGGGGAGCCTATGTTTTCGCCTACTGAACTCTGGCTGTGGTTCTTTTCCAGTACATGCTTTTGTTTTAATTTGGTCATAATTTCAATCTTTTGTAAGCCATTGTGTTAACATGTCTGTGTGTGTGTATGTGTGTGTGTGTGTAAAACCCTATATATATATATATGTATATGTATATGTATAATTTATTTATTAGGATATTTTTATTCCATCCAATACAGTTTGTCTCTGGACAGTTTACAATATAAAATACCTAATAAATACATCAAGCAACAACAAGATAAAACATGACTGAAGATATCAATAAAAACATAATTATATTTAAACTTTAAAGTATTGGGTAAATAAAAAGGTTTTGACCTGGTGCCAAAAACCTTTTAATGTCGGCACCAGGCGAACTTCACTGGGGAGCGCATTCCACAGCCGGGGCACGACCACAGAGAAAGCCCTCCTCCGGCTGCTCTCTCTCTCTCTCTCTCTCTCTCTCTCTCTCTCTCGTGTGTGTGTGTGTGTGTGTGTGTGTGTGAAACCCACAGGAAATAAACTCCCTTTCCTACATTTCAGCAGTCCTAACTGTCCTTTGGAAACAGGTCACTCAATACTTGCATCACGGAGGGAGCAGCAGTTCGTGGCCCTCCAGAACTTGCAGGACTGCAGTTCCCATCAGTCCCAGAAAGCATAGCCCTTAGTGAGGGTTGGTGGGAATTGCAGTCCAGCAACACCTGGAGGACCGCAAGTCGCCATGCCTTCCTTCAGCAGTTTTATGGATGGTGTCCCCGTTCACACATGACACTTGTCCCGGAGTGTGCCCCTGAAAGTCGTTGGGGCTGCGCCCTCCGGGGAGGGGAGCGAGCCCTTCTTGCGCGGCAGCCGTTTCCCACGCGTGCCCACCCGAGGACCCTCTGCGGGAGAGAAAGGGGGGTCGTGTGGGTCGGCCTGTGGTCCCC